AACCATCCGTCTCAGACTTGTCCTTCGCGGATTTATGGATACTGAGGCTTTCGACGTGGAAACGTTCTCGGGAACCGCCCGAAGGCAGTCCCAAAGACTCCTGGCAAGTGAGGCGGCATGCCATCCAGAGTGGATCTTAGCTTACCGGAGAGGAGGGTGATGAGACCAAGGGCTACGGCATACGCGGGGCTAATGTACTACGGCGAGGAAACTCGCCTCAAGGCAAGTCCGTCGTTCACCTCTGTGACGGACTATGCAAATCACACCGACTGCAGGTGAGGTCCAGCTACGCTGCGGAGGCACTCGCAGCTGCGCATAACCTCGATGAGTGTTATTGCCCTACGCTCATCACTCTCCACGAGCTTAAGGCAGGAGCTCTGACTCCACGACAACTACGAGATATGCGTGAAGTTGGAGGCCTAGCTATCAAAGTCTCTCTTACCATAGACGCCGAGTCCGTTTATAAATCATTATCGAGCAGGGATCTTAAGATACCGACAGAGCGGGCTCTTCTTGGACATATCAGTTGGATACGTGAGCTCATGGGTATAGGTATAGTACATAACGTGCAGTGGTGTGATACTAGGGATATGACCGCAGACGGGCATACAACGGGAAGCATCGATCGGGAGCTGCTTCTGGAAGTGATGTCAGGCACTCGGTCATTCAAGTATGACGTGAAGCAGTGTGTTCCCTTGCGGGGTCCCGAGGACAGAAACAAACCCAAGTCTAATCAATTTTAGTCAGTCCTTGTTGCCCCCGCGGTCCAATTTGCCAGCATGGGCGCCTACTACAGAGGCGCCCTTCTAGTTGCTCGGAAACGAGCCTTACATTTCACGCCTGGCAACGAGCCGGCTTTATATCACTCAGGCTCTTTGCCTTAATACATATTTGCTCGGTGAGGTATAGCCCGTTTGGCTTGCCTCTAACTGAGCCGATAGCCTTTCATCATTCGAAGGGGCTATCTTGTATTTGCGTGAAATGCTTTGCGAGGAAACTCGCCTTACAGTCTGGTGTTAGGCCAGACTGTACACACTGTTTTCTTTCTTGCAAGCAGTTGTGCGCGCGGCCTTTGTAGAGCCTAACGGCTGCGCGGCTATGCTCTCCGTCTCCTCCCCTCCCGACTTTAAGGGTAGCTCTTTGGGAGATGTTATAGTACCGGGGGCATAGCTCGCGCGCCGTTGCCTTTGGCTCAAGGCACGCGCGCCCTATTTGCCCGGACACCGCGAATGTTCGCTATGTGCTGGAAAGATCACTACATCGATCTTATCCTATTTTTTCCGTCCATTCCTCTTACTGAACCACGTCAGTACGATACCGGACGCTATTTGCCATCCGATGTCTACGGAATCGGATGCTATTTGAGTTACCAGGCTCACTTTCGATTTTTTACACAGGATTCCCGGGAAACGGGTTTTCGCCTGCGTTTTTTTCCAAAATGCTGCTCTCGCTGAGGCGCCGGCCTCATTTCTGCTCCCGAATCGTTCCGAATCGTGCTCCCGCTGCAGCGTGGGCCTCATTTTTGGATCGGTGTTTGGCCTCCGTCGTTCAGGATGGCGTTCTCGCCCCAGCGCGGGCCTCTTTCTCGCGCGCCCATCCGCCCGCCACCACCGCGCCGCACCACCACCACCACCACCACCACCACCACCACCACCACCACCACCACCACCACCACCACCACCACTACCACAACCACCGCCAGCACGAGCACCAACACCACCACCAGCACCACCACCACCACCACCACCACCGCCACCACCACCACCACCACCACCACCACCACCACCACGACAACCACGCACACACGCACGCACGCACTCACGCGCACCACCACCCACTACACACGCGCGCGCGGAGCCACAGGGCCGCTACGACACGCGTCCGCGGATAGAAAAATCAGCGCCATGGTAAGGGATGGGAGGGAGGGGTAGGACGTCAGATATGACGCGAGCGCACCTAGCTTGGCCCTCCCCTCTCCTGTCCCCCCCCCTCTCTCCTGTCCCCACCCCCGTCCCCAGTCCCCTTCTCTCCTGTCCCCCCCCTCTCTTCCTGTCCCACCCCCCCGCTCTCCTGTGGACCCCCCCCTCCCTCTCTCCTGCGCCCCCCCCCTTTTCGTCTTCCCCCTTCTCCCCCTCTACTCCTGTCCTCCCCCCCGCTCTCCTCCCCCCCCCCCTTCTCTCCGTCACCCCTCTCCCCCCTGTTCTCCTGCCCCCCCCCCTCTCCCCCTCCCTGTCTTTCTGTCCCCCCCACCCTCTCTCATGTACCACCATCTCTCCTGTCCCCCCCACTCTCTCTTTCCTTTCTCTCTCACATGTCCACACATCCCCTCCTTGGCTTTCCCTCCCCACTCTCTCCTGTCACCCCTCCCCCTCTCTGTATCCCCCCCCCATCTCCCTCTCCCTCTTCTGTCCCCCCCCCCCCTTGCTCTCTCCTGTCCCCCCCCTCTCTTCCTGCTCCCCCCCCCGTCCCCTCTCTGTCCCTTCCCCCCTCGCTTCTTTCCCCCCCTCCCCCCTTCTCTCTCCTGTCCCCCCCCCCCTATCAGGGAGCGAACGGGCCCGGACACATAACCATTCATTTCGCCCGGAGACCCCCCCGTTCTCTCTGTCCCCCGTCCCTCTCCTGTCCCCTCCCCTCTCCCTGTCCCCCCTCCCCCCTGATTTCTCAGGTCACCACCAACCCCTCTCCCCCTTCCCCTCTCTCCTTTCCCCTCCCACCCGTCTCTGTGTCTCCCACCTGCAATGCCCCTGTCTTCCTGTCCCCCCCCCCTTTTCTCCATCGTCCCTTCCTCTCCCCTCCCCCAACCCTCTCTCCTGTCCCCCCCTCCCCCCCTGGGGGGAGCGCAGGTGCCGAGCATATAAATCATCAGTTAAATAGGGACCCCCCTCGCAGAGCGAAGCTTGACCAAGCTCAAGCCCACGCTCTCAGAAACTCACACGCCTGATCGGCGGATCACCTATGGCCCCGTGGCCCTCATATTCTTTTGCGAACCATGTTGGAGACGCTGTAGGGGGCGGCGGGATCGACCTCTAAAGAATTAGATGCGGATCAAGAGGGGGAGGAAGGCCCCAGAAGGGAAACCCAGTGCAAAATCCTGACCCTCGGCTCTCCAGGGTCCATCTCGATTCGATCGGTCCGATCCGATATTAGTTCTGACTGGCTCGACCAGGTTCGATTTCAGTATTCCGACGATCCGACGCGGCCCGGTAATTGCACGGTGTTGTTGTGCATCTTGACGCAGTCCGTTCTCTTCGATTTCGATGATGTGCCGATGCAGCCTGATCCGACGCACGGTCCGATTCGGCCCGATCTCCTGATTCGATGCCGACCGCGCCGTCACAAGGTAAGACAGGTGCAGACGCCCTGATCCTCGGCCCTCGGTCGGCCCTCGCTTAGACACACATTTTGACATCTGCTGCATGCAGTCCGTTTCGGCCCCGCCGCATCCGATACGTGAGCGGGCCACGACGTCGGAGGTTTGGTGCCTGCTCGGCCGTGACAGGCGCGGGGGTATTTGCCCCCCACCCCCCCCCACCTCATCACCACCACCCGGGTGGGCTCGCCTCGTGGGCACGTCGTTCCCGTGCTCGGAGCGCCGTGGGCGCGCGCGCGGTTGCCGTCCGCGTCGTCGACGGAGGTTTATTAGGGGCTGTCGGTGGGGGTTGTGCGCCCCCCTGGCGCAAATGGCAGGGAGGCTGGGGAAATGAAAGAGTAATACACTGCATAAACTCAAGCTTTCGGAGGTCCGCGTGGGTTTGTGGATCGGCGCTGGGCCCCCCTCCCTGGCGCTTAGAGCGCGCCAGGGACGGCGCAGAAGGCGCCGCCGGGGGGGGTGTCCAGCGCATATCCAAGACATCAGCGTGGACCTTCGAAGTTTTATGCTCATGTTAGCCAGCATTGACCCCACACAGTGCAGTGATTTCTTGCAGTTTATGCGGTGCAACCTAGGTTGTGCAATTAATGTGGTGCAATCTAGACGGTGCAATCCATGGTGTGCAATCTATGCGGTGCGAAGCAATTCCAAGCAACGCAAAGCAATGCAGTGCAATGCGAAGCAACGTAAACCAATGCAACGAGTTTAAACCGACGCAACGCAACGCAAGCCATTGCAGCTCAGTCCCAAAGCTGCAAAGCAATGCAAAGCAATGTGCATCAATGCAGAGCAATGTACATCACTGCAGAGCAGTGCAAGGCAATAGTGTAAAGCAGTGCAGAGCACTGCCGAAAAGGGCAAATAAGTGCAACACAATGCAAATCATCGAAAGACAATTCATACGTAATACAAATCAGTACAAAACAATGCAACGCATTACGAGTCAACGCAAAGCAAGGCAACACCCCCAAAACAACACAATGCACACCAATGCGAGTCAGTGAAATCAATGCAACACACTGCAAGACAATGCGCATCAATGCATCACAGTGCAAACTATCGCAAAGCAACGTAACGCAATGCAATCCAATGCAAAGCATTGTAATGCAAAGCGTTGTAATGCAATGCAACGCGACTGCAACACAGTGGTTCGACGACGGGCGGCGATGGGCGGCGGCGGGCGGCGACGAGGCGGCGACATCGGCCACATGACAGCCAGAGCGGCCCGTAGGCCCAGGCGAGGGGCGGCGACGAGGCGTCGGCGGTGGCCACATGGCGGCCAGAGCGGCCCGCATGCCCGGCTGTTTTGGAAAGAAGTCAGGCCCCCTAAGCGCAAGCAGTGCGTGGGGGACCTAGTTTTTTTCCTCCCACGAGATTCGCTTCATAACCCCGCTGGGCCCTCGCTGGCCACCCGTCCTGGCTACCGCCTCGTGCTCCACCTCCTCCCTCTCCCCCTCCTTCCTCCCCTCCTCTCGCCCTCCCTCCTCCTCCTCCTCCTCCTCCTCCTCTTCCTCCCCCTCCTCCTCCTCCCCCTCCCCCTCCTCCTCCTCCTCGCCCTCCTCCTCGCTCTTCGTCCGACCCGATGCCCCTCGCGTCCCTTCGCTGCCCGCGGTCCGCCGACCTCCGGCAGCTCCCCGTCCGCGCGGTGGACTTCTCCGCGGCGGGCGGCGACGGGGCGGAGGCGATGCCGCCCGC